CTCATTAAACATAGCGGACGTGGCAGACTTGTGCGTCCGGCACTTCGTCAATTCATCATGGTACCCAAAGAAATCGCAGTCATTTGTACACATCGCGGCACATTCGATCAAGGACAGAGGGATAAATTCTCCTATAAGTTCTTCATTTATTTTTAGATTATCGAATTCCGATCTCTTGGTAAAATTTCGCGATATAAGTGAAGCTTGAGTCACAGCGAAGAACACAATTATAAAAGAGATAACCCAAAGGTTAGCCATATTGTATTTGATGTATAATACTGTATCTTTTGCGTTTCTTGTTGAACAGTGATTGGGTCGTATGGCAACAAAAGTATTATTATCGAAGTCCTTAATTGACGAACAACTGTAACGTCATCTGCGATTATTTATTATTGAAATATCGATCATGTTTTATTTGAATTTGATTTTTTTAAATGTTTGTATGGCTAACTTATCAATAGTCACATTGAAAAGTTTATTGATATTTAAAACATGTCACGTACATGTATCTTACATAACAACCAAAGATGTATTGTTTAGAAAAACAATGTCTCCAAATGCTCAATTTACTCAACGTTCTATATAAATCTAATTAAGGGCAACTTTTGAGACATGATTTCTATATTTCTTTTAGCACGTATGTATTAACGCACATGACGTCTATTTTATTCCAGCAGTATCAACTAGAAATCCAAGAAACCTATGAGTAGGCTTTTTGTAATAAGGTACCATCATTAAAGATTAAGATAAATCTAAAGATAATTTCTCGAGAGGGACGTTAAACAAGGATCATCAATCGTTTATTGTTTACAAACATACACACTGGCATTGGATGAAAGAGCCTACTATATCACCTTTAACCATATCTTGACCATAAGTTTTAATTTGTTTTGGTTTATACAAATTACAGATTGGATTTTAACTGGGAAGTCTTGTATATTTTTAGCTCTACTAGTCAGAGACCAGAAGAGCTTATGCGATAGTAATGCGTCCGGCGTCGGTCCGTCTGTCTGTAAACAATTTTTCAAAATGTTACTCCTCTTACAGTTTTGGTCTGATTTCAATATAACCTGGCACACAGGTAGACTGCACTAAGTTACATGATTCTGTTTATCAGTTTTTGATTTCGAAGAACCGTGGTTACTAAATATAGAAATTTCTGTGAAATACATTTAAAATGCTACTCCTCCTACAGTTTTCGTCGGATTTCAATATAACTTAGCACACAAGTAGGCTACATTAAGATACATAATTCTCTTTATCAATTTTTGATTTCGAGAGAAAGATGAAAGAAAGATGTTGCTTTGGTTACTAAAAATAGAAATTTCCGTGAAGTACTTTCAAAATGCTACTACTAGTTTTCGTCTGATTGTAATATAACAACTAGACTACACTGAGATTCATAATTGTGAGTTTTATGTATTTGATGTTGATGATTGATGTTGCCATGGTAACTAGAATCGAAAATTCTGTAAAAGTTTATGAAAAACTACTCCTACAGTTGTAGTCTTATTGCAATCTTGCCACAAAAAGTGACTTAATGAAGGATCATTATTCTATTTATTGCTTTTGTAAAGTTTTAAGTCCCGACTGATACCTTTTCTCATTCTTTATTATATTAAGTAAAAACCAGTAGAGCTACAGTCTAGACAGAGACTTCTGGGTTTTGTTTCATACTATTATGGCATATTAATAACAACAATATAAGCGCTTGCTTTGTTTATTTTCTATTAGTTGCTTTTTATTTTAATACAGTATATGAATCAATGTTGGTGAAGCTACACAACCTGTTTCTTTTATTTTTATATAAACATTCGACTGGAAGCATTAACAAATCAACCTCTGCAATAACATAACTAATAAAAAGTAAAATTTGGCCCCAATTCTGGCGCAGAGATTGTTCAAATTCTCTGTGCTGATGACATATTCATAAGAATCCATTGACAAGTTCCAACTGGGAGGATGTAACATAACACATTAGCTCAATTTCCTTTCTACTGTAATTGTATTTTTGTTACTTTTGAAAGGGTGTTCTTTTATACAATATTCCTCTCATAAATAGCTGTGCGCATATGAAACAGAAACTCTCAATGTATAATAATGCTGAGGTTTTGATGCTTCCTTATAGTTAAATGCTGATTGGTAGATGCAGTATGGAAAGAATCGATTTATTTTATCTTAACACAAAATATTTTAGTAGATTTGTAAAATAGAACAAATGTGTAACTGGAAAGAAAAGAAATGACAATTAATTCTAGCGTAGGAAAATTTTTAAAAATAAAGAATTGCAAGCAAATTTCATAAAAAGGAATAATAAAGAAATTAAAAAGGCTACTGTGTTAAATACAAACCACTTTGCCCCTATAATAATTATTACCAACTATTGTTTCAGCTTAATACTTTCAACACTTAGGCTTGGATTTTTAGTATAAAAGTGATTGACTTTCCTTACTTATGTTATATTTTACTATCACTTAGCTGACTTAAATATCAATATAATTATGGATGAAAACAGTTATTAATAATAACTATAGCACGAATATACAAAGATATTCAATTTGAAATGAGATTTGAAATAAATATATCATAAAAGATTGTAGATGCTAGATGAGAGCTTGTTGTGAGCAACATGCAGTTCTTCCGTCCGATTGTTCGAAAAGATGAGATACATGTATGATTTTGACTATTATCATTGTTAAAACATAATGATATCAAGACTTTTCTCATTTGATTAGATTCTTTTCATTTATATAGCATAATCAAATTGTTATATATGAGTCTCTATTGGTTCCTCTGGATCAGAAATTTGAGAGGTCCAGACCCTTTTTTCCTTACATCAAATGATACAGTTCGTGATTTAAAAATTTTTTGTTCAACGACTGTTCAGATTTTATTTTTTCGTTTTCCAGCTATACAGATTAGAATTATATAGGGGACAGCCTTTCAAGTCCTTGATGGGGCCGTTTTGCTAATATTGAATGATGGTATAATGTTAAGAATACGATTCGGAACATTTTTTATTCAAAATGCTTATCAAAATATTTCTCCCTTAAAGTTTGGAGGTATAAAGAGTCAAAAATTTATTAATTTGGCCCTTATGGTCCCTAATTACGTAAGATATGATCATTAGTTTACAATTTATTATTGAAGATTATGAAAATAAACATTTTTGCTTCAGCAATGCATCACAACATATTATTCATTAAAGAGATATTGATATAAGACTTTTGGCCCCTCTGAAACCCCAATATGAGGAGTCAACCACTTTTTCTTGATATCACGTAAAAGCTGTTCAGATTCTGCACAACTTTTCTTCAATATGTTTTAACAAATTATGAACAGGTATGAAGATATAAAACAAACGGTAGTAAATTTTGTGAGATGTTTCTGCGACATGTTTTCGAGCCATACCGCGCTCTGGCGCCTTTTGCGCTATAAAGATTTAGGACACTCACCTGCAATTCATCAAACCTTCCAGTGCCTTCCCTGAAAATATTTACTCAATATCTTAAGTCGCTCTGAGGAGTTTCCAGGACAAACCGATCCATTGAAAATTAAAAATCCTCAATATCTCAGGACCAGAAGTGATGTCATCAACAAAGAAATCCGGATCAATACCTATCAGATCTTTAAGTTTCAAGAGAATCAGTCAAGTTATGACCGAGAACTGGCGTGCTCAAAATCGGTAAAAAATTATTATTATTATAGAGAAAAAGAGGGATTGAACGAAAACAACAAGGACTTTCGTAGGAGATGAAAGACCTTAAATATGTGCTTAGATAAATGAGAATAAAAGAAATAGCAGCATATTTTTTGTTCAAAATGAAAGGTTCTGAATATTTTAAGTGCATCCCCGTGATCAATATGATGACTACTGTAAAAACTATTTCAAAACTGGATCATCTACATGGTATGGTATTTTCATTAACAATAATGATTTATCATGTTTAATTCAAACCAAACTGCAAAAACTCGATGCTTATTTTCTTTCTCCTATTAATTTCTGGAACAGGTTTTTATGCAACTGAATCCAAACTATAGTTAGGTTAATACAGATGCCTAAGATGGTGGAATGAAAGGACATTACAATTACTTTCATTCCAATAATTTCCACCACAGTTCCTCCGACAATGTACATCGTATGTTCCAAACTTTTTTCTTCCTCCATTAATGTGCCTGACGACATATGTTGGGCATTATCGCACATGTTTTAAAGCTTAAATTCATGCTGAGGAAGGCCTCGTTAAAATTTATAATGGTATAAAGGGAAAACAATGACTTACGCCGTTTGTTCGAGATAAGTCCCGCAAAGAAAAATGATTTTTGTACCTGACTGACTTGCAATGGTTGCCGAGGTGACTGAAGAAGTAAAGTCGAAGAAGTTATAAATGATGCCTGCGATATGAAAGGTAGAACATCTGCTGCGATAATTGCTGTACACGTGGTTGATTTAGTTGTTGTTGTTTTGGGGGGTGGGGGGGGGGCTACCGATGTTGTTACTTAGCTGTGTGGTAGTTCTCACATAGCGTGATATGGATGGGCACTAAGGTTTGGATATGTTTGCCCGGATCATATTCTTATTTCCAAGTTGTTTTCAATTATTGATTCAGCTTCATCATTTTTTCATTCCGATGTTCGAAATTTAAATAGAAAGTTGATTTGCTAATCGTGACCTAATATACATTTTACTATCATTTACATGTAAGTGTTAATGTTAATGCAAACGGTTATTTTAGAATGAAAAAAAAAATAGCAAGAGTACATAAAGAGGTTTAAATTGGAAAGAAAATTTAGATTAAATTAAATTTTGTCTAAGTATAAACAATGATAGGCCCTAAAATAATGAAAAGCAAAACAATAACATGTATGTACGCACACTATTGAAACAATAAAGGGTTGCTATTTTATCTATAGTGCAGACTGCAGAAACTCAGTGCTTATTTATCAATTACTTATAAGTCACAAAGTTGGGACAAATTGTATTTTAAGTGAGTCCTTTACGTAATTTGATTGACGTGTATTCTTGTACAATTGCTAAGTTAAAATGTATTATAATAGAAATAATCAACTTAACTTTGTTTGTACAAAATGGGTACATGTACTTGAAGATGAAACTTACAGAAATAACGAACAGTATTCAATGGGTAATCTTTTTTACTACAGATGTACCTAAAAGTACTTGTTTGCTGAACACATGCATTATAACAATCACACACAAAATTAAATTCAGTTTACACTGTCTATAATATATAAGGTATTAAATAGCTTGTAAGGAATTGCTTGTATGTCTTCAAGTTTATATCCAGGTACTTAGGGTAACTCAACGTAAGGATTTCCCTCAATTTTCAATTCTTCATAATTCTTGTTCTCGATTTCGCTCAATTGCTGATAAGATACTCTGTCTTTATTTGTATCTGCCCCTGACTGTTCCACTTTTGATTCTTCCTTTAGGGTGGAAGTACTACTTTGTTTCTTGTTTGTGTTGAATATACATCTATATACCAAAGAAAAAATACAATTTCATTCAGTTATACCAAAAAGCTTTGCAATAATTTCGTAAAATATTAGTTTTATCAGGTATATAAAGGTGTATTTTTAATGTTATTTTAAAGTCTACCAGAATTATTATTTTTTTAAAAAGTGGAAATAGATTTTTTTCTTCTTAAACAATGTACGATTTCTATTATTTCATTGTAAAAGTTTGTTAAAATCAGGTCTAAACTTGTAAATGGTTTACCTTTTGACGATTAAATATACAACACATGCAAGAGCCCCTGTTGAACTTATAGAAACTGATATGCTGAGTACATTGCCTGAAAAACATTGAAATACTATTTTTAAAGAATATGTTTTATGGCATCATTGTATCGCAACATCTATTTTTATCAAAAAATCTATTTTTAGTATTCGGTTTTTATAGTTATTTTTAGCCTGAGGGTTCATCTGTATCTATTTTTATAAATATTTGTCCTTGTACCTCACCATTAACCAATGAAATTGCAGAACTGTGATCACGTGGAAATCACTTTTGTTTTTACCATAGTACGTGAAGGACGCTTTTATGTAAACAGAGGGATTGTTTGTGTAAAAAATTATCCCTCCACCATCCCCATCTTATCCACCTCATTACACTTAGTATTATTTTATAGTTGTGTTTTATAATTGTGTTATATCGGCATGTACAAAGGCAGAATATATGTCCATATTGAGTTGAATATTCATTTACATTTGAATTATATAGGTCAGCATAATCTTGTTGTTTTATACCTCAAATTTGAGAAAATCCTTTTTGTAAATACCACCTTAAATTTTACATTGTTTTTGAAGAACTTTACTATATGCCATAGCAAAATTTTTGTATATGCCACCTTAATTTTTACATTGTTTTGATTTTTCATATCACAGGGAGATCCCCCTGCCATTATTGTATATATGTTACCTGGTGATCTCCCATCTTCTAAATGTACATTCAGCAATCATAATCATGTCTTGCTTAGACTTTAGGGAGATCCCGCTGCCATTGTGATAGTAGGTGCTCAATAAGTCTATGTACGTTTGTCTGGGATCTCCCTAGTAGTTAAGGTAGTTTATTTGTAATTAGTTGTTATTTTCGTCATTAATAAATGACAATATTCATCAAACATTGTCTTGTAGTGTTTTAAGGAAGTAAAAATTAACAAAGCTGCAGGACCAAATGGGAACTGGTTTTCACGCAATCTTTACAATACAGGCATTTGTCTAGCATAAGATAAATGGGGGGCATAAAATATATTTAAAGTCGTATCTGAAAGATACACCATTATTACTGATGTGTGTTGACTAAAAGAAACTTTTCATGAATACTGGTCTGGTATGAATGATGTAATTTATTCATTTTATGTTTGAAATATGTAAGCAAGATATGCAACATTCTTAAGCATGAATAAAGAAATATTTGAAAAAAAAATGCATATAATAAATATTCTACTTTAAAAAAGGGTTTTTTTTTAATACCGGTATTCATATATAGCAGAATTAATTTAAAAACTCACAAGAGAAGAAAATATTTGCTGTTGTTTCGAAATCAAAATATATCTTTTAACTTGAATACAAGATGCCAGAGGCATTAATGGTTACCGAGTAACACATCTTTAAAATGTATGTAAAACTTAATCATTTAAATTTTTTATCGTCAACTTTGTTTTTTTTTCACTTTTGACTTTATACAAGCATGCTCTGAATAAGGAATTTTCTAAAACAAGCCAATTACCAAAAAAAAAAAAAAAATGATTAAACGCATGTATCAACAGTGATGTTACATGTATGGCAACATTTTGCAATTTTTACATGACATTGTCACGTTCATCATTAAGTCGAAAGTTAACTGACGTTTTCATATATACAAATTGTGAAGCTATTTATATCACTGACTTATTAAAGACTTCTTATGTTTCTTATTTTGATATTTATGAACAAAAATGCCGGTCTTCCAAAATACAAAGTGCAACTTACTCGTATAGTCACAGGTCAGTCCAACATATGGTGACTTACAACCCATTGGACAATGTCCATCAAATCTACTACAGATTTTTTCATGTGCACAATGTCCACTGCATGTGAACTGGCAGTTTATTCCATACATCCCAGATGCACATTCTTAAAATTGAATACGTACTACAGTTGTTAATGTTAACTTTTTATTATTGATGATGTAAATGTTTAGATGAGAAATGATTTCGTTCATCGTTTTTTTTTTCTTTATTAAGACTTTTTTTCATAAAAAGGCAAATAAAACGTCAAGAATCACTTAAGGTAAACATATTCGTAAAAAATGATAAAAATATTGAATATCCTCGTTTACTTGTTGTGCAATTTGGGGAGCCCATCCAACCGGGTGCGCATGTACATGAGCCTTCTGTATGCGAACAGTTGTCCATACAATTTCTGGAACAGGTTTTTGAGCAATTGAATCCAAACTGACCGGAAGGACAAACTATAATTAGGTTCATACCATGTAAATGTATATACAACTCCTTGAGATGGTACAACACAAGGACATATCTACTGAAACATGCCATTTTAAATTAAAATTCAAATAAAGAAAATTACAAACTTCTGTCGCAAAATTTCCCATGGAATCCGTTGTTACATCCTTTAAGACAAACTCCATCAACATGATGGCAAGTTTCATTGTTTACATGTAAGCATTGACCACTGCAATTATTGTTACATGCATTTCCGAACAGTCCTTGTGAACACTCTGTTGTAAAAAAGAAATTTAATTTAAAATTATCATACGATGAAACATATTGAGATAGAGAACGAAATACTAAATCTTCATGAACATGTTAGTTATATGTTTATATATATCCATTGATTACAGTGCAACTTGTCGAACCCAAATGTTATGTATTCCGAAGTCTTGCCTAAAGTGTTCACCTTAAATTCTCTTTTTTAAATTCAATGGTGAAAAAAAATTTAAAATAGAATATTTATTCCAGCTAATTTCTATGGGAACGGAGGTGTAAGTAGTGTGCGCTATATACAATTTCTGTAATTTTTGTTCATACCTTCTTTGCAATACTCTCCAAGATAACCTGGCCTACATCCATAATCACACTTCCCTGTCACAACATTACAGTTACTACCGTTCCAACAATTTCCACTACAGTTCTTCCGGCAATGTACATCGTATGTTCCAACAGGACAAACTGAAAGAATTGCTTTAAGAGTTACCTTTGATATTAGTGAAATGGAGGAAGAAAAGTACATAATAAATTGTAAATTCATTATTTGGTTCAATTGATTTTCTGCACATTTACACACAATCAAGATTTACATGTATGACTTTTTTATGGCACGCCAAATTCACAAAAATGAGCAAATCATAGTTTCACAATCGATAAATTAGGTTTATCGGTTGTAAACTATAGTTTACGGACTGTAAACTATAGTTAACAACGTTAATACATATTTTACATCTGTAAACCATAGTTAACGCGAAAATCTATGTTTCACAACCGTAAACTATACTTAACATCAAAAACAATCATTTGCGATTGCAAAACATAGATTATCTGATGAATACAGTTTCACGATTTGTAAGCTATAGTTTACAAACCGTTAACGATCTGATAAATATAGTTTCACGATTTGAGAAACTATGATTAACAAATCTTAACTATAGTTTACGATTGTAAACTATAGTTTACAAACGTGAATTTATGTTTATCAACAAGATCTATTGTTAACGCTTTATTCAGACAGATAAACTTAGATTAGCATTCGTAAACTATAGTTAACGACCGTTAAATATGGTTAAACAGATGAAAACTATACTTTACGAATCGTTAACTATAGCTTACGGTTTTGTAAACTATAGCTAACAGTCGATAAACCAAGATTATCAATTGTGAAACTAGGTTTATCTCATTTTTGTGAATTTGGTGTGCCATACTTTTTCAATAGCTCTCAAGAGGAACATCAACCCCCAAAAAAATTAAAAAGTGTTAATATTGATACATAATTACAAGTTTAAAAGGATAACATAATAATAATAACAAGTTTAAAGGGATAACATAATAATAATAACAAGTTTAAAAGGATAAAACTCTAACATTTTATTAAGTTCAGTGTTATTTCAAGTTAACTGAGAGTTATTTCAAAGGCAAGAACTTTTTAGACATTTAAGTCACTTATCAGTTTATTAATGATTCGAGATCCATGCTACATTGTACATGTATGTTTGTTTCCTAGATTACTCAGAATAAAGATCACTAAAAATTATTTACCTTCGTTACAATATATTCCAAACCATCCATACTCGCACTCCCTGTCACATTTACCGGTTGTGTGATTACAAGGTACATTGTTCATACAGTGTCCTTTGCAGTGGTGTTTACACTCAATTCCATATGATCCAGGGGCACATGCTTAGAAGGATACGCATACATGTATGATAAGAAGTAAAAAAAAATTGCAAAAGAGAAATTATTCAGAAAATTTCACTTAAGTCGAAACTAAATACATTGTTCATTTATGTAGAAAAATCATACCTTAATTTAAGAAATAAACAGAACATCCCCATTTTAATAATCTTTATAAGAAGCATATATACATTTTTTGGCTTACATTGTAAATATAATATTGAAGAAAGTGATAAGAGTACCATATCCTTTCCAGTGCAAAATGTGTTAAGATATCGAGAATTTTTTTTTTCATTAAAGGTGTTAATATTAAGCTTCTTGAATTAACTTTCACTGTATGGTACATGGCATTTACCCCAGCAAACATAATCAAACACAACACATTATCAGTTAAAGAAATTACTTTTTTTTACTTCGATGGAAAATGTACATGTAAATATCATGCTCAAGTAATTTATATTGCCTTTTAAAATGCAAAGAACTCTTGAATTTATTACAAATTTTGAAATATACTGTGGATTTTTTTAAAGAATAAGATCTAAGGGCAGATCACTCTAATTGACAAAAAACCCCATAGAATCAGAACTTTTTAGTGTGCAGTGTAGAGAGGGTTCTTAACAAGTATATACAACTAACCAAAAGTTTTAACACAACAAAAACTAAAATATACCAAATAGGGAATAACGACATTTCATATCGATTTCCAATGGAATCATTCCCTTTGAAATAGTTCCCCAAGTTTCACTGAAAATTTGACAACTGACAAGGTGTCGGAGTTAAATTAGTCAACACGTGACCGTCCCCACTCAAACAAGTTTACTCAGGCCATTTGGGTAGACATTTTTTTGTTTTGCTTCTACAGTATACTATACTCCACAGATGAAATAACTATGAAATATAAAGTGGGTGCTAGGTTCTAGCATGCTAACTATTGATATATGTTTTGCTTCATAATCATTCATAATCATTCATAGTCATGCCATCTAAATTAACGCTTTATATAATATAATTAGAGAAAGGAAAAAACGTCAAAATTAGAAACATTAGGATTTCGGAAATTGTGAAAAATTTTAAACTATACTCAACATGTATCAATCATTTCATTATTATTCATTATGAATATTGATTTGTATGATGAAATTGATGTTTCTTTTATAAATTTATATATCCATCTATTATTATAGGTATTACATGTATCATATCATTAAAAAGCCAAAGAATATGAAATGGATATTATACATCAGAAATACATTACATTTATTGCACGTTTCTCCCGTCCATCCAGAATTGCATCCTAAGCAGGTTCCATTTGTAATGTAACAATGTCGATCTTGACAATTCTTCGGGCAAGGTAGATTACATTCTGAACCATACTTATACGAGGCATTACAACCTTTTAATAAAAGGAAACTTCATATCAGCAGATAACTGTAATATATTTATACATCAATAATCGTTTTGGGTCAATTTATGTCTTGCATTTAAATTTTTCGAGTTTCGGAAAGAGTCATTTTTTTCATCACTTAAACCTATATATGTGCGAGAGTGTAATTTCACAACACCATTACGAAAATCCAATGGAGTTGTGGTCCTTTCCCTAAAAATCGAAAAAAATTGTGAGCCATTGCTAAATTGTAGAAAAGCCCGAACTCTGCTTCTAACATGGGCCCTAATAATTTGTACCATATACTAGCATGTCAAAATAAAAAGTATTAAATTTCAAGCAACTATGATGAATAGGTGCTGCAACCAGAAGTCTCTGTCGAGACTGTAGCTCTATTGATTTATCCTTAATACAAAGGAAGAGAAAAGTAGCAGTTGGGACTTGAGACTTTAAATCAGCAATAAATAGAAAAATTATCCTTTCCACTCCTCAAAATAAACATCGATGTATAGAATTTTGTATCATAGTAAAGTCTACTTGTGTGCCAAGATGCATTGAAATCGGATCAAAACTGTAGGAGGAGTAGCATTTTGAAAGAATTTCACAGAAATTTCTATTCTTGGTAACCATGGCAACACAGGTCATTGAAATTAAAAACTGATGCACAGAATTATGTACCACTGTGACATGACCCGGCGAGTTTTCCTCTGAAGTCAACCGTACTGTAACTGCGATACCTAACACTTTTTGTGGGCGTTTCTTATGCAAATGAACAGAAACTGTACTGTATCTGCAAAATATCAATGATACAGTACGGGTTATTTTAGCGATGACGGAAAGCTGTAACTGTAGACAGACGTAACAATCGTTCAATTCTCATGATAGCACTGTTAGTATTTACTTAAAATTTGAAGTGAATTTAGAAAAAAATTTACAACGTGAACGTAAAGTTATGAGGGTCGGATTAAAAAAATTCACACACTTTTATACCTAACCCCCCCCCCCTAAAAAAAATGGAAAAATCGTTTTTCGTGGGGGTAGATAACTAATCAACCCAGACACAACGTGCGTGATATCGTTACTTGTGATAAATTAAAAAGCGTATGTATACAAGGTTAGCAAAAATAATCAACGAAAGCCAAAAAGAAAAAGCTCGAAGTGGGGGGGGGGCATACCGACGTGCACCTGTGAGTGCTGGATCCCCCTTTGGTTACTCTACGTAAAACATGAAGATAAATGCCCCCCTCTCCATGCATCTGTTTATTTCAATTTGTATATGATTATGATGACCGATGGTGACATTATCGAACATTTCTGTCAAAATAGAACTCCTTTTTTTTCCATTTATCTGGTTGGATATTTCTCTCAGAATACCATCTCCCAAGCATTTTTCTTTCAAAAATATCCCCACATGATTCTTAAATATCAATTTTTTTTGCACAAAATCGTTGCTTAAATAAATAAAATTATATCAGCAAGAGCTGAATAGAGTAAAATAAACCCTATACCCGTAATCAAATCTAAATTATTTTTTTTTCATGCAAAACAAATTATATCATGCATTAAATTTCATAATTCTAAATATTTGAAAATAGTAGATACCCGCACGTCTACCTCACTCGGCATTTCAGTTGCGATTGCTTAGTTAAAATGGGATACTCTATCAACTTTCCGCAAAATCATCTGATTGGTTGATAGATAAGTACCCAAATACGCATATAAATTCATAAGAAAGATGTAAATGTAAATACGCATGTGAGGTCATAAGAAAGGTCATGTCACAAGTCATTTAGAATACTCGTTTTCTACTGTATCAGAGATACAGGGCGGGGCCCGGCTCGAGCTATCGCTCTCGCCTCAAGTCCCGCCCTGTATCTCTGATACAGTAGGAAACTCGTACTTTAAATATAACTTGTGTAGTCTACTTGTGTGCCACGGTATTTTAAATAAGACCAAAACTGTAGGAGGAGAAGCATTTTGAAACAATTTCACAAACATTTCTATTTTTAGTAACCTCGGCAACACCGTTCATCGAAATAAAAAACCGATTCACAGCATTGTATCATGACGCGGCGAGTTTTCCTTTGAAGTCAAGCATACATGTACAGTAACTGCGATACAGAACACTTTTTGTGGGCGTTTCTTATGCAAATGAGCAGAAACTGTACTGTATCTGCAAAATATCAACGATACAATACGGTTTATTTTTAGCCATGACGGAAAGCTGTATCTGTATAGACAGACACAAAATCGTTCAATTAGCGTGATAGCACTATTTTAAAACATTTAATAAAAATTTGAGGTGAATTACGAATAAACTTTTACAACGTAAATTAATAGTGTTTGATTCAAAAATTTAAGAAAAGAGCTAGTGGGGCAGTTCACAATTGATTTCTTTGAACACCCCCCCCCCAAAAAAAAAAAATCAGTGGAAATCGTATTTCGTGGGGTTAGATTTATAGCCAACCAAGACACTATATGCGTGATATCGTTACTTGTTGATAAATTAAATGGCGGATGTATACAAGTTTACCAAAAATCATTTACGAAAGCGAAAAAGAAAAAAAAAATCAAGGCGGATGGGAGGGGGGCACCAGTGATTGCTCGGATCCCCTTTGGTTACACAACATTTTATTAAAAACATGAAGTTAAATATGGGTTGGTCCCCTTTATTCAATTTTATATTTGACGACCGGAGGAGGACATTGTCGGACATTTCTCTCAGAAGCATTTTTGTTTCAAAAAATATTCTGCATGATTCTTATATATCAAAATGTTTTGCATTAATTAAGTCGTGGCTTAAATTAAAAAAAAAATGTCAACAAGAGCTGAAAAGAGAAAAAAAAAAACAATACATAATTAAATCTAAATTTAATTTTTTTTTTTTTTTTTTGAGAACAAATTATTATGCATCCCCTAAATAGTTATTTTAAAATGATAAATACCTGCACGTCCACCTCACTCGGCATTTCAGTTGCGAATGCTTAAAATGGGATACTAAATCAACTTTCTGCAACATCATCTGATTGGTTGAGAGATATGTACCCAAATAAGCATGAAAATTAGTGAGGTCATAAGAAAGGTCATACCACAAGTCATTTAGAATACTCGTTTCCTACTTTATCGGATATACAGGGCGGGGCCCGGCTCGAGTTATCGCTCTTGCCTCAAGCCCCGCCCTGTATCTCCGATACAGTAGGAAACTCGTACTCTAAATAATACTTAGTATCTTAGTGTAGTCTACTTGTGTGCCAAATTATATTGAAATCGAATCAAAACTGTAGGAGAAGTGGCATTTTGAAACAATTTTACAAAAAAATCTATTTTTAATAACCTCGGCAACACCGTTCATCGAAAATAAAAAGCAATGCACAGAATTATGTATCTTAGTGTAGTCTACTTGTGTGCCAAGTTATTTTGAAATCGAATCAAAACTGTAGGAGGTGTAGCATTTTTAAACAATATCACAGAAATTTCTATTTTTAGTAACCACGGCAACACCGTTCATCGAAATCAAAACCGATGCACAGAATTATGTATCTTTGTGCAGTCTACTTGTGTGCCAAGATATATTGAAATCGGACCAAAACTATAGGAGGAGTAGCATCTTGAAAAATTGTTTACAGACGGACAACGGACGCATAACCATCGCATAAGCTCTTCTGGTCTCTGACCAGTAGAGCTAAAAACTGTGACAAAAATTCGGTATGGAAGGACAGTAGGACACTCAGATCATTAGGAAGTTGCTATTTAATTCTACACAAGAAATCACACTATATGGCATACTATAGCAAAAACACCTTTGATGAATATTTTGTTACTTACAGACACATCAAAATACAGACAGAATGATAGACAGACAAAGTATCAGCAGTACATCCCACTCCTTCGGAGCGAGGTATGAAAATAGAGAGGGCTGAACTTTTTAGCTTGTTATTGTTTCAACTGATTTCAGATAAAACTTGATGTAACTTTTTGTTGTTCCTTTTACATTACCTTGAACGTTTACTTCACATAATTCAGTCAACACAGAGAAGTAATCATCTGGATAAGTCTTTGATAACCATCGCTCGTTGTAAAAAGTGACGAATCGACCAAATCCCACACAATCGGTGGTGAAATTCAACGGAGGTAATCCAGGTCCATCTTTGTAACAAAGTAATCCATCTTTAATTTTTGATGTGTTTGATAAATACAGGGAGAATCCAGCCATCCGTCCTCTTTGTCTCTTCACTAAAAGAAAATCGGTGCATGGTTTTGTTAAATTTGATATTTAATAAACCTTAACTCATTCAGTTTTTTGTCACCAAATCTAAGCTAGCTAGATGTACGATCAAAGCATCCATCTTGACATAAAATAAATTTAATTATACAAATCATATTTCAGAAGTTCAATAAAGAAAATTGTTAACCAACCATAATCGCCGGATTCCTCGTAATCTCTGAACAATATCCGTATCATGTACACGCTGTGTATATTTCCGAGGTCCACTTGCCACCAGTCGAATGAATTTTGAACAACATTCCCTCTCATGCAGGTACTGATGTTACCATCTATGGCGTTTCCCGCCACGAAGTTATGACAATTATCAGAAGTGCAAGAGTAAATGGAGCTTTGTTTTGCTATTTGACCTGTTGCCAATTCATCTAAAAATTACCGTTTTTATATTCTTTAATTTTCAGTACATGTAAAGTCAAACAAAACTACGTAAATGTTTATTTCAAAACACAACATTCGTAATCATGCTTTTAAGCATGTTAAGAGATGACTAAATAATTTCAACAAAAAGTCAATAGGCACATGTGTGTCCAATCTGACCAATCAATTTGGACTTTAAAATCTTGCCTTTAGAGAGTTAATTATTACACTTGCAAGACGACAGATAAATGAAATACATATACTGGTACCATTTACAATTCATGTATTCCTTGACATTTTACGACGGTCATTAATTTAAATGTAAGTACATTATTTCTTAACTTTTGTTTTTATTTAGCGTCATATTCAAAACTAGTCAAAAATATATTTACCAATCAATGCATTTTGGCCACAGAGTTTGGAAAAAATACGTATTTAATTTTAAAAAAAACTGAGTGCTTTACACAAAATAATAAAATAACAACAAAAACATAATAAACGCATAATGCGCCCGGATCGATAGATCCAGGGCGTATATTGTTTTTGTCCTGTCTGTTTGTTTGTTTGTTTGTTTGTCCTGAACTTTAACCTTCACCATAACTTTTGAACCATGAAAGATAGAGACTTCATATTTGATATGCATACGTCACTAATAAATCTCTTTCAAATGACTCCAAGGTCAATGACCTTGTGACCTTGACTGTGGCCTATATGCTAAAAATTTCTTTTTTCCTGCAAACTTTAACCTTCGCCATAGCTTTTGAACCATGAAAGATAGATACTTCATATTTGGTATGCGAACTCCACTAATCAGGTTCTTCCAAATGACACCAAGGTCAATGGCCTTGTGACCTTGACTGTGACCTTAATGCTAAGAATAGCTTTTTCCGAACTTTGTTTCCGCCGGGCACATTGTGTTTCACAAACACATCTTGTTTTATTTCTTTAACATCTCAAATAGCCAAAATGAATTTGAATTGCCATATCTTTACTGGATTATGAAATTTCATAAAAATCTTTTAAACAGATACATAAATATGCACGTCAGCACAACAAATATTATACAATTATGGACTTCAGTGTAGATCGATATGTGGTTAGAATGACTCATGACAATTAATGTAGACCGAAGACGCAGAAAGTGCAGCGACCGAGCCTGCGAGGTCGCTATCATATTCTTTGTCTGATGTCAATATCAAATGCCATGAGTATTTATAACCACCAGTCCTAACTGAACAGGCTTGGCTGTCATTACGTCACATTGGTTTAATTCACGCTTCTTATATTATGACGTCACGTACTACGTAACTTTAGTGCAACCGAACGGCGTGTCGTTCAATATTATTTTCCACGGACGCGCTTTTGCATCGATTTCACAAAAGAAGGAATATCACGAGACGTACTTTCAATGAAAACTACGAAAATAATCTTCTTATATAATATCAACTTTTTAAAGTTTTATGAAAACAAAGTAAATGTAAAAACTGGTTCATATATATCATTCTGTAGTTAAAAATTAAAAAAAAAATGTTTTGTATACATTTGCTCGAAGTATAAATATACTAAGGTTAATATCATTTTACATTAAACGTGCAATGAGGAAAATGCCTACATAAAAAGGGCTTTTTACAAAATAAATTTCAAAGCAGTAGTCAAAACTGCTAATTAGAATTAATGCTGACCACCCAACTCTCTGAATTTTTCTGGCGGCAGTCCAATCATTATTCGGCATTATTCGCTATTTCTTTCTTACATGTCTCCTAGTGGCTTCTGAATTCATTATGTAGATGACATGGATTATTTGGTTGTGGTTTTGATAATAAAAACCCTTCAGTACTTTTAATCGTAGTAAAGAAAATGGGGATCGAAAATAAATTGTGTTAAAATACTATAAAATGTTACATTTTGCATATTTTTAATGATAATGTTGGTATAAAAGTTACCGAATTTCAAAAATGAAAGCATTACGCCAAAAACGGAAATGAACAACAGATGTGCATCTATCGACAACTCGTTAGTTCAAGGTATATATATCGAGTTCATATAGTGAGTTTATTATTTTTTCACTTCAGCAAAAACAGCTGCATGTCACTTCGGTCCCGAACAGATATCTCTAAACGGAATAGGAAGTAATTATGTATGTACCGAACAACGACTGATGTATATATATATTTTACTTCCTTTTCCGTATAGATGGTAAAATCTGTCCATAGTCCGAAATGTCTCACGTTTTCCAGGCCTTTTCAGGATTTTGATATTTTATATTTCAGATCAGACACCATTACCAAATACTGAGAATTCGCCGGATCCACCTGGAGGCGGATTCTCGGGTTAATTTTTATACTTGCGAACCGGATGAAATGCTGAATTCACAATATATCAAATTTATCAATGGTACTATGCCTTTAGTACTAACCGTCATATCTTATTATTGGTATATTGTAAAATATTCAGTTCGGTAGAAATATGTTATCATACTGTCTTTTATTAATTTTCAATCTGAAATTGAAAATGATTATTTGTCATGTAATAATTTTCAGCTTCAAATTGAATATTAATAAAAGACAATACCTTCGAGCTTTGATTATATTACAAGCGTTATAAAATCTTGAAGGATCTGTATCGAAATATGAAGTGATATTTTCTTTTAATCGGTATTGTTAGTACTAAAGGCATTGTGTTTGACATTCAATTTGGTTCAATTTATCGAAAATATGCTCTGGTTGGAGACGGCGAAATTCCCAGTTTTCATTATGGATTGTGACGTGTTCCTGCCACATAAAATATCAAAATCGTGAAAAAGCCTGGAAAACGTCAGATATTTCTGACTTAAATCTGTTCAGTGCGTGGTGAAATGAACATGCTGTGAAAATACACAACTTACAGAAAATCAAAAAAAAACTATTTTTCTTCTTGAATTTTTTATTTGAACATTTAATGCAAGGTAACTAATACTATTCTGCTAATCCTCAAGTTGACATGGGATGCACATGATGCATGTAAGTATTCTTAACTTTTTGAACTTCTTTAAGTATTCTTAACTTTTACTTACCTGAAAAATTTGACTATATTTCCTTCGTATTACTTTGCTTTAGTATAAAGTGTTGGGGGGGGGGGGGGCAACCAGACTTTCAATGAACATTTTCAATAGTAAAAGTATTGTTGGCAAAAAAGTGGGGGGGGGGGGGAGGCCCTCCCCTGCCCCCCCCCCTCCCCTGTTGCTACGCCCCTGTTGGTTTTACTTCAATACATATATAACAAGATCTACCTCATGAAAGAACCATATTTGTTTAAAACGTTTGTTATGTATAATATTGATCGAATATACTATTAGTCTAAAAGAGGTTTCTGTTTGTATTGATCGGATAACTGTTATGTTTGGAATCAATTTTTTTTCTCTGCTTTAGGATAGAAATAATGTTCTCTGATAAATCTAGCACTGCTTCTATATACGGTTTTTCTCTTCTATTTCATGCAAACCGTCGGTTGGTAGAGCGCTTTCTTTGCGTTCGAAAGGTCGTGAGTTCGAACCCTAGCCGCGACTGAGTCAAGTCGATAAGTGTTCGTCATTATGAAGTAAAAGTTGCAGGTCCTTCAGATCAGAATTTAAAGAGTACGACATCTGTTCCAAATCCGGCATTTGCATGATAAAGATATCTTTCTGCTCAATGGGTCTGAGTGCCGAGTAAAACACTAGTCACATTTCCAAGCAAAAATAGGATTCTTCAGGTGACAGTCTGCAGTTCATCGGCCGTATCTTGCCCGATTTTGACCTCTTTTTTGTCGACCGATCAATTTTGCGTCCATCGGTCCAAGTTATAATTTCTCAGCGTCGGTGGCCGATTTCATTAATTGAAGCAATGCGCCTTCGATCATCGTCCGATCATCGGCGGTCAATTTATAAAGTCGGCCGTCCGTCTTTCGACAATAAGGGTGTCCAAAATTTCGGCCGACGGTTAAAATCATACTGTAGCTCGAAGCTCGATAATCGGGTGACGATTAGCCAACTTATGAATATTTCACATTTAAAGGATACATAACACAAACAAAATTTTGATGAACGGATTGATATGTATTTTTGAATGGAAATAACATAATGTGTGCAATTTTGTGTATAGAATTGCATTAAAAACTATAAAAGGCGCATAAATGTATATCTTACGAATTTACTTATCATGTCCAAGATATAAATGCGACAGGATTTATTAACAATTAATTTTAACATAATCGTTTATTTTAATTCGGTCTTTTTGCCTAAGTTGGTACAATGCATTTTCCCTTCTTTTTATTAATAAATAAGGAATGGTAAAACAATGTCTTTTAAAACATTATCTTGAATCATTTTTTTCTTCTCTTTGTCCTACATTGTATGCTACTCATGTAAATGTTTTAAAATATATATTTATTTTCTTCATACACTGTTTATAATTTTATATGGGACAATGTGTGTTGTTTTTCATAATCTTGTAAATGCGATTTGAAGAATCTAGATTAATATCCTGTTTGATTTCGTACGTCCTACAACACAGTTAACGATTGTTCGCAATTCTAAATTTACCCTAAGACATATAATTTAATTATTCATATATCACCGAACAAAATCTGGAATCAGACTGCAATTTTATTGTAAATAAAATTTCTATAATATGATAATAAAAAATACTAAAAGCATACCAAAACCACTGGTCGGAATAAGATGTCTCAGCAAAAACAAAATGAAGATAGCCATTCCAGGCACGTGAGGCATTCTAGTTTCTTCATGTACATGGAAAAGGATGATTTCAGTTGATGTCTAGTAGATATAATAAATTGGATATGCTTGAAATTGGATAAAATGCAACAGGATAGAAAAGACTCGTCACGTGATTCCCGAGATATGAAGAGAAAAAACTTACTTCCGGACAGTCGCCCATGAAACTATTATCAATAAATGTCTGGGTTTGCTTCATCAAAAGCTAAGCAAAATTTATTGAGACAGCTGGGTTTTGAAAGTTGTATGAAATAAAG